CAATCCAGCAGACAGTCGCCAGCACTTTCCACGAGGCCAGTAAGCCACAAAAAGTAACAGCTAAAGAACCTCATTGTTCAGAGTCCTGCAAGCAAGCATGTAAATGAAGAGTTGAGAGGAAGAAAAAAAAAGTCAGCGTACAAAAAAACAGGGACAACAGAAACCTGTGTTGATTCAAGGAGCCGTGTCTGCAGGTGCAAGTCCGCTGAGTACTAACAAATCCAAAGTCAACGTCGCAAGTTTCCCTCTGATTAGACTCCCTTCTTGTTATTCTGTAGTTAATATGTACCTGCACTTGTATGATTATTTCGAAAAAAATTAAAAATAAAGTCTGTCTAACTGTGCACAGTCTTAAGCAGAGGATTTTGTGCCAGCCTGAGGCTGAGCAACATATTCATGTATCAACATGTGGGCATTTTGACACAACTCCTGGCAATGCATGAAGGCATTCTTATATGCCCAGTCATCTTCCACAAAGAGATGAAACAGGTTCACTGGCTTTGCTCTGCAGATTTCTTTAGGCAATCCAGTAACCCCAGCCAAAGGGTTGCCAATCAGAATGTGGGTCAGGTGCTTCCTCTTAAGACTTTCCTCCACAAAGCTCAGCAGGTCTTGTAGCCTGCAGACAGCAAAGTTCGGTTGCCACTGCGATGGTTTTTTGGTCAGCAGAAGGTGCATTAAGGCTATTTTGAAGTGGGTGTCCTTTAGTGCAGTCTTCCCTGTCAGCACTTCCTGTCTCCTATGAAGGAAGGAGGCGATTTCCAGAATTTGATCATGACAGGAGTTCACAGGGAGGCGTTTGGAGAGATGTTCCAGGAGGCGGTCTTCGTAGATGGAGAGCGACAGCGCCCAGAAAGTGTCCACATCCTCACTGGAGGACCAGGGTGTGATGCAGAAATGAGCTTCTGTGTTGAACTTAACCACCGGCTTCAAACTGAAGTTGATCTTCCTCCCTGACTTGAAGCGAACCACCAGAGCGCCTGGAGTCTCAGCGTAGCGGATGCCGAGCTCGAACTCGTATTTGTGTGAGATTTGTGCCCAGGCTTGTTTGACTGTGTTCTGAAACCACCGGGTGATCTTCGATTTTGACAGAAAAGGAGTGTTCTTGCTGCACAGCGGTCCATTGAAGGCATCAGCCACTTTTGTTTTTGCTTTGTCGCTCTCCGAATGCAGCAGGCAAACCATGTCGTCTGCGTCGGCGGACTGGCAGGGGCAGCCGTTTGGGACTTTCTCTTCTTTCAGGAGTTTCATCTGACCGCAGACTTGCGTGTCCAGCAACGGATCACTCACCCGGTTGTTCCTGAGCAGGCAGCGGACACTGTATGGTTTGCATGGAGCAAAGTGAACAATGATGTCACGCTCTTTCACCATCTGAAAGTCCTCAATCAACATGCTGCCGTCGTTTTCACAAACCGTCCTCATGGCCTCCAAGAGGTCATTTGCGAATCCTTCCAAAAAGCCCTTCTCCCTCAACATTTTCTCAGCTGAGGCCTGAACACATTGAGCATAAAAGCTCCTCAGAGTTTCAACATCAGGCAGCGACACTTTAGCAGGTCTGTGTGGGGAGATCCTGGTCTCTTCCTGATCTGTTTGGAGATTTCTCTTCAGGTATTTCCTGAAGAAGCGCATTATGGAAATGATGGAGAATGTGTTCCAGATGTACCAGAGGCAATCCCTCTCCCATTCTGCAATGCCTTTCTCTGAGGTTTCGTCTTCTGTCTTGCTGTGGACATGTGAGGCAGGTGAGTCTCGATCTTTTGGGTGGATCGTTGCTCCTTCTGGCTTCTCACGATGTCCCTGCAGAGCGTCTTGTTCTGAGCTGCCACTTCTTAAATCTTCTCCCTCCTGATTGTCAGGATTTTCAGTCAGATTCACGGTAGCAGATTTACTTGTCATGTGTCCCACTGGTAGTTTGGGATCAAAAGTTCCTCCCTCAGTGAAAGCCACATCTGAGTCCAACGGTTCATCTTTGTCCTGTTGATTGGACTGATTCTGTTGCTCTGGATTGTTATTTATGTCACCTTGAGGTTCTGTTACTTTGTAACTGACAGGTGCTGATGGTTCGACTAGTTTCTCTTCCCTTTTCAGCAGCATCTGCTCATGCTTTTGCAAATCCTCGTCGACGGCATCGTCCCAGTCCTCAACCCCTGGATTGTCCCGGGGACACAACAGAAGACCTGCAGCCACCACAAACACTCGCAGCAGAGTATCTTGCATCATCTGCGCAGCCTGGGAAGGAATACGGAGGCAGCAATTAGTTCACTTTCAAATACAGGTCGAACATCTTTACCTTTTGATTGTGCTGTTGGAAGGCAAACCCCAACCTCAACCTGCAGCCTATAACAGGTTTCCTTCCCCATTTTTCTATCAACTCTGACTAGTTATGAAGACAAGCATTCATCATTTACCATAATGTTGCTAAAAAAATGTTTTATAGTGCGCCTGATGTGTTCAGGATGTAAGTTTTCCACCACATGCAGCATTCTGTAGGTCAGCCAAAAAGTGACATTTTAGTCTGGTCTGGCCTGAGTTGTGTTCTTTGGTCTTTATGAAGCTGTTTGTTCTCTAATGTTTTCTAACAAACCTCTACAGTCTTCACACAGCAGCTGAAGTTAAAATAACACTCAGGTGGAGTGTTAACTAAACATCTGACTTTTGAATGTAGTTGGTTGCACAGGTTTTATTTAGGGGCATGAAAGTAAAGGGTGCTGAATACATATGCACACATGAGTTTTATAATGTAAAAAATATATTAAAATCATTCATAATTTTTCATGGGCAGACTTTGTGTTTTTGCCTACCACACAAAATCACCAAGGAGTCAAATTAAGTTTGCAGTGTAACAAAATGTGACAAAGCTCAGGAGTTATAAATACTTTTGTAAGGCATAAGTCAAAAGTGTAAAACGTGTTACAAAGAATTCTTTGCAACATGTTCAAGTTTTCTAAGAAAAAGATGCTGCTGCTAAGTTTCACCACGATGCTTAGCCAAAGAGGGAAAAAAGTAACTTCCTCAATATGCTCCAGCAATTATGAATTTATTTCTTTATTATATCCTGTTGGGTGTTTTCAAAATCAAGCACTAGGCATCATTATGTAGAGAACATGTCAAATATAAATAATCATACACACCTGAATGAGGGAATGTTTATCTCGGCAGTGGGGTGTTCCGGTAATATAAGTGAAAAGGTACAAAGGAGGAAACGACCTTATGCTGCCTCTTGTTCTGAGATCTCTTCCTATTTTAGTTGAAGGTTCAACTTACTTCCTGCTCACGCAACCCCATGTGTTCTGCTTCAACACTTTCCTGTGCGATATGCACAAGTACAAGGTTCGAGCTGACTTCCTGAAACTGCCTACTCATTTCACATTCAGTGCCAAATGTACTCAGATGATGCAGCTATATAGGCTGAAACCAGAAGTTTTCACACACTGTTTCAACTTTTTTTTCCAAGTGTTTGACATAAAGGCATTTTTTCCCCCTGTTTTTGATTAGTTGAGATGACTAAAACTATCTCTGTTTGCTAAATATCTTACTGATTTTGAAACTTAGAGACAGAAAAAAATTATTTTACTATCAACTACTGGAGGTCTTAAGGAGAACCGGGGACAGATAATGTATTTCAGCAACATGCAAAACATATTTTAATCAAACTAATTTTTTCAAAGTAATAAAACGTAACTACAGGTTAGCTTGACAATTTTCATAATTGTCAGTTTGAGTTATTTGAATACATGCTATGGTTTTGTGTTTGCTCCATATTATTGGTGGCTTTAAACAAGTTTTGTTGCATTTGTAGTTTTAAAGATTTACCTTAACATATTAACAGGCGGTGAACCTTTATAGCCTTTGACTAGAGAGTCAATGGAAAGGACACTCTAGTCATTTCTTAATGTAGCACTGTTCACATTACATAAAATCAGTGTACACAAATCTCTGACTCAGAGAAATAATTTTCCTGGTGTTGACAATCAGTATCAGGTTGCAGACAGAACCAAGTGTATTAAATGGCTAGTGTCCATGAACAGTGGAGCGAACCGCTGCCTTTTATCTTCTTGCAGGCCTAAAACTGGTTTGTCAAGCTTCAGTTCATTTTGTGGTTCCATATGTATTGAAACCCCTGTGTGCTATAAATACATAAATTTATATATTAAAAAAAAAACTATTTCAACCTGTTTCACACTCATTTCTTCTCCAAGCAATTGGAAACAGATTCACCCTTTACCTCTGTGACTGCAACCAAATTTTCCATCCAAAGCCACAGATATTTGAATGGTTTGAACGTTTGTTTGCATGTCTGGCTTGTTGTAGTGACGCAGGAACAATGCAGGCGCTCTCACTGATGGGATTTATTGGACTGACACAGAAACACTTTGCTTTTCATATAACCATGCAGAAACATAGTAAAGTTAAAAGGGGGTTGAAATAAGCAGCGTAAGATATTCACAGGTTTTGTCAGGTTTGCTTTCGAGAAAATATGTTTTCTCGAATCACTGTAACGCAGTGAAGGGAGGGGCTTGATGACAGGAGCTTAGCTCGGCTTTGAGTATCACCAGAGAGTCACTTCTCAGTCAGCCAGGTGCATATGTATGCTGCGTATGAACGGAGCTGCAAGACACTCACTATGGACGTTATGGTTATATGACAAGTTTATCCTTTCAGCTGTTTATCCAATTATAAATAATAAGGTAAGTGTGAAGTTAATACGAGAACAACGTCTATGAATATGTGTACCATCGACATGTTCAACTAAATTTCTGTCTTCAAGTTTATTGTTGGATAAGTAAATTACAAATGTCTTACAGATGAATTGTAAATAGTTGCTGCATCTTCTTTGCGTCTGGAGAAATCCAGCAATGCTTCTCAGCCAAAATGTATTTTCTGTTACTATTAAGTCTGCGGATATAAACAAAAACTTAAAATCTCCTACTTGTTTCTTCTTAATAATAAAAAATATATATATGATAGCTTTTATAATAACTTTGCCATCAGATATTAATATCTGGTTGATAGAACATTTACTAGCCTTTTCATTAGGTACACCTGACCATTTACCATGTAACACAAATCCTGAATCAGCCCATCACACGTCGGTGGCTCAGTGAGTTTAGGCACGCAATTGTTGTGAAGCCGAATGTTGAAGCCAAGTGGCTTTGAAGGCAGCGTAGTTGTTTGTGCCAGATGGGCAGAAACTGCTTATCTACAAGGATTTTCGCACACAAACATCTCTCAGGTTCACAGAACTCAAAGGAGAGACTATATCCACTGAGCAGAAGCTGTCTGGATGAAAATGTGTTGCTGATGCCAGAGGAGAACAGTTCAAGATGATAGAAAGGGGACAGTAGCTTAAATAGCCACTCATTGCAAACAATATTTTACTAATACCATATTTGAGTGTATCACACTTGAAGCCCTTGGATCACAAGACCAAACCAGATGCCACTCCTGCCAGCTAACATCAGCAAACCGAGGCCACAGATTTCACCTGCTTACCAAACCTGAACAGTGGACAGGTTGGTAAAACAGAGGTTTGATGAGCCTTGATTTTGGCTGTGAGATTTAGATGTTGTTGTCAGAATATGGTGTAGCCAACGTAAACGAGGATCCATCTTGCCTTGTATCACTGCTTCAGCCTTGTGGCGGCGGCATAAAAGTATGGGCAATTGTTCTTGGCAAACATTGGGCCCATTAGTACCAGCTGAGTATCGCTGAAATGTCACAGCAGATGTGTAGAAACCAAACTAGTTTCTTGAACAGAACAACTAGTTCACTGTACCCCAGCGGCCTTCAGAGTCACCAGGTCGCTATTAATTAGAGCAAATTTTAGATGTGGTAGAACAAGGATCTCCCCATCACGAATGCGAAGCTGAGAAATCTGCAGCAACTGCATCATGCTGTCAGGTCAACATGGATCAAAATCTCAGAAGAATGTCGCTGACACTTCGTTAAATAGCACTGAGCATTATTAAAAACCTAACTTGGTATCAACTTAGTTTTTTTTTTTTGAAGGAAGTTCAAACTCTACTGTTTTTCATATCAAATGAGAAGTGCTGTCTATCTAACGATCCTTCTCAAACAGTCTTTTTCCAGAAATTTCACTGCCTGTAAGCCGAAGTGTCCACCACATCTCACACGATGGATAAGTTTCGTATGATGTTCCAGTTCCTCCAGTCCAACCAGGAGTCTTTCATGAATGGGATTTGTGGCATCATGGCATTGGCAAGTGCCCAGATGTACTCCGCCTTTGAGTTCAGCTGCCCCTGCATGCCAGAATACAACTACACCTACGGCATCGGGCTTCTTGTCATCCCTCCCATATGGTTCTTTTTGCTGGGCTTTGTCTTGAACAATAATGTGTCGGTGCTCGCCGAGGAGTGGAAAAGACCCACGGGGAGCCGGACGAAGGATCCGACAATCCTGCGCTACATGTTTTGTTCTATCACCCAGAGATCATTGATCGCCCCGGCGTTGTGGGTGTCGGTCACCCTCATGGACGGAAAGAGCTTCCTCTGCGCCTTCAGCATTAACTTGGATATCGAAAAATTTGGGAATTCCAGCTTTGTCAAAGGGATGTCGGAGACGGAGAAGATTCGACTGCTGGCCAGAATCCCCTGCAAAGACCTGTTTGAGCATCAGGAAATAAGAGTGGCAGCAACACGGTACATCAAGTGTATATCACAGGTAGGTGGGTGTTTTTACTTTTTCTCAGGATGAAACACAAGAAGAAGTAATGTGAGACAATTTGCCAGGCAACCCAGATATATGATTTTAAAAAAATCACAAGGTTGTTGTTTTGGCGTCCCTGAAGTAAACAAAGTAAAAATCTGTTTATTTAACACTGTCCAAAACATGAAACCACAAAATGGATAATCAAAAAAAAAAAAAATTAACAGAAAATTATTCTTATTATTTTCTAAAATACCACTTGAATTTCAAAGCTGGGAATGTCTGAGCCATCCAGAATGGAAGCACTTATTCAAAGTGTAGACGAATGTTTCCTAAGACTTAACACAAGACTGATGATTGATGTGCATGATTTTGTTGGCTTGGCTCAAGAAAAATGTTCATCACTCCAACTTTTTTACATAGTCGAAGCTCTGATGAAGGACATGCAACTTAAACCCCTTTCAAGTCAAAACTTCACAATAAAGACACAACCACAAAACTCCCATTATGGATCACATTGCCTTTTCACAGAAAACCTCACAGCTTGAGGCATTCACACAAATAAAATGCACAAATCATGTGTTCCTGATTTACCACCTTTAGGACTTTGATGTCTGTCACAATCCTCACACAGAAGTGCAAATAATGAATCCACTCCTTTAATTCAAGAACGATGTCGTGAGCCATTATCTGCATCAGGTTGTGCTGCTCAAAATATTGCTCAGGTCAGGTACACTGAAAAAACAAAAACAAGCAAACAAACAAAAAATCTCTAAATTACAGTAAAATACTGACAGCTGTGGTTGCCAGAATTTTATACGTTAAATTCTGGTAACCACAGCTGCTGGTATTTTACCATAAATTAGAGACTTTTTTTTTTTTTTTTTTACAGTGTAGAGTCTGGAGGATGATCTGGTGGCTTTGTCCATGAACTAAACAGCTGCTGCCGTCTGTGCTTTGTCTAAAGTCACAACATCATGAATGTTCCCCAAAGCTGTAGAAGTTCCCTTACAGATCTTACAGAATTGGATGTATTACACCCTCCTATTCTGTGTTTGGAAAGCTTTCGTAGTTTCCAAGATACAAAAGTGTAGATTATAAAACAAAAGTGTGTCTTAAAACAGAGTCCAAGAAACCTCATGAGGTATGAAAGAGATCTGCATCCTCTGCTCAGAATGTGCAACAGAAACAAGAAAGGCCCTAAAGCAGAACTTAGAGGTACACCGTAATGAAGTGGACTTGGTGAAGACATGCAATATGAAGCAACAACCGAAAAAGAAGGATTCAGAAGACATTAAATGATGAAGGGTGGTGACTGAGATATTAACTACTTTGTCTCTTCGTTGAGTAATTTCTGCAACTGAGAACAAGTCATTTTGTGCCCACTTACCAATTGTGTATTACACTATTTCACTTGATGAATTATTCCTATTAATGTTCATACTCAAATGTCCCGTATAGTTTAGTTTGCTTGTATGTAATCTGTTTTCAGTGACTGTGGTTCTCATCCCTACATCAGTGTCAGATAAAATGTATGAACTAGGACAAACTATGGCCCCCAGATTAAACTGAAATCACTCAGTTTCCTCCATTTATAACTCATAAAACCACATTTACTTTTAGTAAACTATGAGCAGATTGTATAAAACTATTTCTATCCTCAACTGTCCAAACAGATACAAAATATCTCCAAACAAGATGAGAAGACAACTCCTGCTTGTACAAGAAAAGTGATAAAAAAAAAAACTAAATGATGGCAGCATGACATTACCTGCACCCTCCTTGTTTACAGTGAGATGAATCACTGTTTTAGCAGTGACTGTGCATGAGCTGCTGCTGTTTTATTGTTAACCCAAAAACAAACTATCAATGTCAGTGATACATCATTTGATATAGCACATTGCCAACACCTCAAATTAAATAAACAACTAAGGATGAATAGAATACACAACAGTGGTGCAATCAAGTATTAAAAAAATTATTTTAAAAGGCAATAAGACAATAAGAACAACTACACAGCATGGAGGTAAAATATCAGGGCAAATTGGCAAAACTCTTAGCTAAGTTGTTATTTTTATCAACCAATTTGTTCAGTTACAGGAAAATTTAAAGTAGATCAAAATTTATAATATCATTGTTTATTTTTTGACTGCTATAAGAAAGTTGGGGCTAACGCGGCACCTGGGTGTTTAAAATTCTAGCAGCTGCGATATTTTCAATTCCTCATAAGAAAATGTGATTCTGTTTTACCTCTAATATCCCCCACTGGTTACATTTACTTTTGTGATGTTTTTTGTTTTTTTTTTGTCCATAAGTCCCTAAATGTGTTATTCATGAAACCAAGACTTATTTCAGTCCTCCCATAAAACACCCGTGCTGTTGTTTAGGTCTCTGAGTAGCCTCGGGGAAAAAAACGCAGGTTCAGAAGTCCCATAAGAAATGTTTGTAACATAAATGAAGTTGGTGAGCTGCGAAAGTTGAAGGAAGCCTGTAGAATGTGTTATTTCCACATTACCAAGTGGAGAGATTAACAAGAACGCTATCACAAGCAAATGCAGTCCGTTTGCTAATGTAAAAACCTCTGTTCTTTACAGGCGTGTGGGTGGATTTTTCTCCTCATGATGACCTTCACCGCCTTCCTCATCCGGGCCATCAGACCGTGCTTCACCCAAGCCGCTTTCCTCAAAACCAAATACTGGTCCCATTACATCGACATCGAGCGCAAGATGTTCGACGAGACCTGCAAGGAGCATGCGAAGAGCTTCGCCAAAGTCTGCATCCACCAGTACTTTGAGAACATCAGCGGCGAGATGCAGAGCCTCCACCGCCATCGCTCCGGCCAGGACGACAGCGGCGACGAAGGTGAGGACAAGAGAAGCGACGAAGACAAGCTGCTGGGCATCAGGGCCCAGGACGACATGAACAAGGTCCTGTGGAACTGGCACACCTGTAAGCCGGCGCTGGCTCTGAGGAAGGACCAGATGGACGGCGAAAACAGTAGCAAGCTGAACGGGAAGATAAACGAGGGATTTAACGGGTTCGCAAACGGACATGCCCACGAGACCAAAAAAAGGGAATGGGCCGTGTATTACAGTAAGGTTTGAAGAAAACTGAGATAAAACGCTTACGAATGAGCTCTCACTGTGTTCCAGAGACGTAGCCTTTAGGAAAAAGACCTTACTCTGACAAAGTCTGCAGTCATTGCCCATCTCTTTATATTTTACTTCCATTCTTCTCTTCTTTCAAAGTTCCATTGGCCAATGTTTCTTACAGGTTTCTGAAGGCTTTTCAGAGCTTTTCTATCAACTTCAACTGTTTCTGCCATCATTTAAGTTCAGGATCTGATCTTTTCAGAGGAATGTCTTCTGTTACTCTGCGTCAATCTGACCTATGAATTATGTAAGACATCTAAATTCAATGAATTAATCCCTGTTCCATGACAAAGAACAGAAAACTTAACATGCAATCAGTTGTAAATTGGCTCTGACTCACTTAAAATGTCATTTTAGTATTAGCAAAGGGATCAACTCTTTGTTGATCTCAGAAAAGCATTCTGCCCTCTCAGAAAGCTTGCTTGTGTAAATCTTGTAAATTATACACGGCTAATAAAAGCCGTTTTTTATCAAACTGATAGCTCACACTTAGTTAATGCTGCACACTGGAAAGCCCGTGTGGCTGTCGTTAAAATGTTCATCCCCGTGTGGGTTACAGCGAAACAGCTGAATACAACGTCACCTGTAAGCAGATGTAGTAATATTGTGTCTGCCTTTTTACTTCTGAGTTGGAAATCCTGCATTTCAACTTTATTAACTTCGAAGGAAATGTAAAGTTTATGCAAAAACAAAAGAATGTGGCTACCAGAACATTTACAAGTGAGAATGAAAACAAGGTCAAGATTTGCATCTCGTTTGCTCATTGTGTTTATTCTTCTTTTTTTTTTGTCAGTGACACACAACTTTTTTTTTTTTTGTTACATCTCTTATTGGAAGTGTTGTTTAAAGCCCCCTTTTTTTACATGTTTACAGTTGCGGCTGAATATGCTAATCGGAGTGAACTCAGGAAGTTGTTGATTCAATGTTGTTCTCTTGAAAACCATATTTCACAAGAGTGCGTGCTATTTCTAAAACCACCAACCTGTTGCCGTCTGGCAAGCAGCGAGTTCAGTCTGCAGCCTTGGAACGAAACGAGCAACAATGCATGTAGTGTGTTTAGCTGCGCATTTACGCATCTGTCCAGATAACCCAGCTGTCCTTTAGTGCTCATGGGTAACGTCATTGCACTGTAAAAATCACTCTGTGTCACTGACAAACTACTGGAGAAGGCGATGACATAAAATTATGTTTGTTAGCAGAATTTAGTTGCGTTTTACTAGTATGAAACAAAATGACTAATCTTTGGGCCACCGTTGTTTTTCCTTCTCTTTCTATCCCATGAGTTTGGGTTTGATTTTGTCTTCACCAAACATGACGTCCTGATTGAGAACATTTTAACTGCAAGTGGGTTTTTAATAACATTGCAAACTCCAAGTAGAATTGCAAACCAACAACATTGTACTCCTCCATTTTATATGGAAGAAAGATGTTCACAGTAATACCTGAAGCACTTATTTAATAAGATACAACCTGTCAGAATCGCTAATAATTGGTTTGTACTTGCTGCTTCCACTACATGCTATAAAGCAGGATTCATACTGAGTTGATATCAAGGTTTTTTTTGTTTGTTTGTTTTTAGAACCGCAGCTCAGCCAGCTGTTGCAGGAACTAAGACAAGTCAATAAAGGGTTAATCTGATTTTCTTTCAAATAGCTGTTCTAAATCCACAGTAGTCAAATATTCTTGTCAGTCCACAAATATGCAAAAGAAAACATTTTTCTCAACGTAGTCTGAGCTTATGGTCAGGGTGAACATTAGAGGATAAAGTGTCAAAAGCCTCAGAGAGCTGAGTCAGATGCTTCTCACAGAAACAGCAGTTTAAAACGACGGTAAAAAGGGAAGAGTTAAAATTTCTTCATTAATTTTAGCCTCATGGCAACAATTAAGTCATAAAATTGACTGAATTGAAACTAGCTTACAACACAAGATGATACAACCTCTGTTCAGTATATAACTACCCAAACCATCTCTGAACTGTAGAAGATCAAATACGGTGCAGTTCTATTTAGAAAGTGTGAAAATGGCCCTGTAGCTTCTCACAGACAGGGAGTTCAAAAGCAGATGTAAACGTTGGCTTTGTTAACAGCTGTTAGCTGGTGGTGCTATTCTCAAAATTGTTTCTGTCTGTCATTGTCACACCATTTTCTTTATACGAGATGTTAATTTAATTCATGTTAATTTAATATTTAGAGTTGTGGTCAACACGGCCTGAACGGCTTTGCTCAGTTCCTCCGCTGCCATTGCTAAAACTACAGGCAGATTTCAATTCCTAAACCAGCACAGAAAATCGACTCTATCGATCACAACTTCTCCTTCGGCGTGCTGATTGGCCCGTTCGAAACGCTACCAGACAAATCCAAGTCAATGGGAGAAATTCAGACGGAGCTGTGAAGGGCTACTTTTTAAGCTCACACCATGTATTTCACTAGGGTGTGAGAGGTGGAGGGGTGTTGGAAATGCCATGCATCCCATTGACTCTTCTTTCCTTCCCTCCTCGTCTCTCCTCCCTCCTTTTCTTTCCTCCCTCCATGCTCCCTGGGGATTACTGGAGCAGCCCTCCCCTTGACCATCTCCTTGCCCGATAGCCCAGCAGCTGTTCTCCTCAGCGGATTGGCAGCCAGGCCTGCTGGTGTGGGGGTGTGTCCAGCTTGTGATTTTCTGCCTGCATTTTTTTTTCATTAACATCTTTTCATAAATTATCCCTAGTGCTTAAGATTTCTGTTTATTTCATAGCTTTTTTTGTTTGTTTGTTTTTTTAAGGCTGAAATCATTTGCTCCCTACCTGACCTCCATTTCGCACACACTGCTTTGTTTTGGTTGTCAGGACATCAGCCATGCGCGTATCATTGGGCTCCCTTGACTTTGCTGCAAGTCTCTCTCTCTCTCTCTTTCACTCACACACACACACACACACACACACACACACACACACACACACACACACACACACACA